AGCATGGAAGAAAACCTCTTAGTTGTTCTCCACTGCAGGCGTTGTTGACAGGTCACGGAAATCCAAGATTTAGTATTGGACAGAGGGAAGTTGAGGAAAACCTCTATTTTTCTTCTAGTATGTAGCCAGGAACTGTAAGTGTATGTGTGTTATTTTGGCCATGCTAGCTGCACTAATCTAGGGATAGCAATGTCAGTTGGCCAGGCACAAGATTCGGTCCAGATGTGGTGGTTCCCAAGCGATCAATCCAGATATCAATGGTGAATCCTTGAATTTTCCACTAGTGTCAGCAGCAGCTTCACGTTTGTGGTTTTGAGGGAAATATCTCAACAACTACTTCATTATTTGTCATTTACTTTGGTACCAACATTCATGATCCCCTCAGGATAAATATGCAGTCCAATACTTTGGTTTATGACCCACTGTTTGCAAAAAGACATGTGTTTAGTGATAAATAGCTAACGTGTTAACATGCTAACAAGCTGAATGACGGTGACGGTGAACATTATACCTGCTTAGCATCTACATGGGAGCGTTGTTAGCATGCCGACATTAGCATATAGTGTGAGGCTGGGCATGGCTGTAGACTTGTTTGTTATTACTTCAAAACTGTGTAGTGATTAATAAGCCACTATGGCTATAATGGCAAACCTTATTTATCATATTCATGTCTGAGCTAGGCAAGCTTTTAGTGTGATTAAACCAGGTGTATAATTACCTCATCAGGCTAAGTCACAAAGGGGGGCTGCAGCAGATAATTGTCTCATCCCAAACATGTGAGACTCTTCTGTTTCACCTACCAAAATGGTGAGAGTTCTGGATATCAAAGCTAAAATATATCATCTGTTATTTGAGAGTGTGAAGGTGTCTAATTACACTGAGATCTAAATTTGTGCGATAACATAAAAAGGAGTTTAACCTTTTTATAGATGCACAAATCAAACACATCCACAGTCTGGACCAACACAGCTCCACAGACATGGGATACATTATGTTTTTTCTTAATGAGTATTCCAATTAAGTCTATTATAATTGGTAATTATGATCCTGGTTATGATGCTTTACATGCACAGTAATAGGCTGCAATACACAACACTGTGATATTACAATAGTTTTGACATTGAGGTGCTAGTTCTCATTAGTATTAAATGTTAATTTCATTTCACTAAGCACGGATGTGTGTGTTTGTTGAAGCAATTGGCAGGTCTGTAATAACTGCGACAATGTGCGAGGATCTAGAAACATGTTCTCTCTCTGGTATGTCTTGGATTCCTGATTTTTTTTTTTTTAGTTAGTGTTACCTGGCAAGCTGTGAGCAGTAAGTGCATCTCTGTGTTTAACAGTGGGAAATGAATCAATCCTTTTCTCCTTTTACTGCGTGCTTTCAATAATTATCTGGGTTTACAAAAAAAAGTGATCGGCCTAATTGTAGTTAGACAGTAACTCGGTCAGGTAGCTCTGCAATGCAGAAAACACTACCCTGCTGCAGTTACTAAACATTCAAAGATCCTTGAAATAATTCTGAAGGAAGAACTGCTCACATTGTTGCTTTTTGTCACGTACATAGCATTCTCACACAACAGTAGTTCTGCTTAACAAGGATAATCCCTTAAATCAGGGTTGTATTGTCAGTATTGAGCTTATCCTATTTTATTTCCTTATCATCCTCATCTATCGTCACCATGTTCTGCTGATAAACATCAAAGACACAAAGGAGGGGGATTATGGATAATTGCAGCTTCAGTATCTGGCACTGGGATGGCAATATCACTGTATTCAATTCATTTTGATATTCTAAAATGTATCATGTGGTCTTGTAAATTATACATCGTCAAAGATTTGAAGACTATAAACACTCAGAAAAGAAATTCAGAAAACTAACCGCTACCCTGCGATTTCATGCACTTGTGACTTGCGAATGACTTTATGTTATTTAAAGTTCTGAGTGTTGATCATGTGCTTGGTTATGTTATAAGCACATCGTTTTTTTTATCCCACCTTCACATATTTTTCATAGGTCTGTGGTTGCATTTGTTTCTGCTTCTGTTATTGTAATTAATATTGTATTTCTGTCTCTACAGCTTTATGTTTTGAAGTTTTGCACACAGACTGAAATAAAAACTATTAACTTTCTTTCATAGTTTATCATCACCAATGTGATTTAGCCTCATGGGAGCCAATTTATCAACTCTGGTGCTGTAGGAAGACATAGTAGCTTATCAGAACTATCAACTGTGTTTCTATAGCAACAAATATAACTAAATTAATTACATTCTCCATCCATGGAGAACAATGTCAATATGTTGAATGTCAAAGCATTTGGTGACGACTCGGCACAGCTGACGAAGATTTGCACAACTTGTGTGTCTGATCCAAAAAAGTGTGATGATCACAGTACATCCCAGACACAGCAAAGTCTCTTCCTGCACTATGAGCCGAGTGTTGTATTTTAATTTTGTCTTGTAATTGTAAAGACCTGAAGTCAGCCATCAGTGTTATGCTCACAGGTTGTCATTTGTCATTCTTGATTGGTTGCCATTCTCAAGAGAGTCTTATCTAATATGAGCTTGTCAAAGGGCAGACGCCACACAGCAATAGACATTGACGAATGCAACAAGTCTTCCAAATTATGACAATATACCACTGTTTGCTCACGACCTCTAGAACAACACAGTTTTCTGATCTGACCGTTGCAAAGTAGTGTTGAAAAGTAAATGTGTTTTATGATGTGGTGATATAGATAGATATGGTTAGATTTAGGGAAACATCCTGGTTTGAGTTAAAATGACTTAGGATTAGGGGCAACACAAAATCGTTTAGATATGAGATAACAGTGCACATTTTCAGACAGTCTCTCCTGGAGAGCATTCAATGACTAGCTAGCAAATGAAAAACTAGAGGGAGAAGTTCTAAACCAATTTGGATGTTGGATTGTCCTTTCGGAAAGTTACAAAAGGGGTCAAACACAGCCCCACAAATCCGAGATCAACAAGCACTCAGGCATACCGACAGTAAATTCTCATCACTCCTTACTTCCAGCTGTGAGCTTAGTGCGTCCTTGTGGGGCGTGATGAGGTCAAAGGTTTAATATCAATACTGTACATATCCAACATTCACATAATAATCCATGCCACGCAAGTTGGTTGACTGAACTAAAGGATTACTATGTACTCTGTGACAGATATTTGTGCTATTTTCCAATACTCTCAGCCACAGAGGACTCTAAAATTCTGTCTGCCCACTATTGGCAAGTGTTTATTCGTGCCAAATGAGGGTTTAACACGTAAATATCAACCTGTGTCACACACCTGTTCATTTCTGAAGGTGTTACATGTCTATGTTGGTAACGAGCAATGATGCTAGAGAATAATTCAGTGGCCAGCGGGTTCCTTGTTTATCTGTGATCTTCCTTCACAGCTGCAGGTTGAACATGTGTTTTGGATTAAATTTCCTGGAAAATACTGTATTTTCTATTTGAATTGTGCCAAAATATTAAGTTGACTGATTTTGTTTTGGTTTCACAAGGTAAGAGCACGGTTAATGATGTAGTCCAAGAGCTTTCCTTTGATATGATAGCATCATTTGTATTCCTCTTCATAAAATATAATGGATACTACTTTGAAGCTGCTTTATATTGTGTAAGACTCCTTTTTCAGTAAGAGAGAGCAATAAAACATTGTATTTTTAGTGCTGCTGTATCCTTGGCTTGCAAGTTACACCAATTAATTTAATTCTACTAGAACAATGAAACCCAAAGACAAAAAACCTACACCAAACAGCCACTACAAAGTCATCAAACCTTTTTTTTAGCAATGAATGTAAAAAAAACAGTAGAAGGGGACTGGCCAGAGGTCTGGTTCAGGTGGGGAATCCTCGGTATTTGTGTGAGGGTCAGGCAGCAGGGGGACAGATGCTCGACAGAGGTCACGACAGACAGTGGGTCATAAATATGGGAGACAGGCTGATCTGGCCTCTGACAAGGAAAGGGCAGCTCTACTGTAATGGGTGATAAATGACAGTGCCTCTCCTACAGCCTCAGATGAGCGATTGTTAAGCAGCTTCTCTGAACCTGAGCTGCTAAAGCCTCAAGACCGACTGACAAGCAGTAAAGGAAACATTTACACAGACAGAACGGCTTGTTTGGATGCCCCCCCCCCTTCCTCGCTGTCGCCGTATGCAAAATGAGAAAGGTGATTAATCAGGTTGTTAACATGTTTGATGGAGAGTAGAGGAGAGAGGGAGGAGGGAATCCATGTGCTGAGAGGAGGGTGTGACAGGTAACAAAATGAGGAGGAGAGCCTGCGCCACTGGGATTCATCAGGGGTTACTGATCCTCTGAGGAGCAATAATTTTTAAAGTAATGGGCCTTGATTGCAATAATGCCCCCATAGCAACTATTATCTTTAATGACTATTATTATGGCTGTCATAAAATGGATACTGGAGCAAGTCTTATCAAAATATAGTACGCAACTGCACCTTCGAATGTCTTCACCGATTAAAAACTACCTTTCATTTTTTTTTATTTCTACAACTTTAAATTGGTAGATGAGTAAAAGGAATAATTGAATGCATGTATTCAAAACTAAGAGGCATACGAACTTACATATGTATTACTTGTCACCGTTATATTTATGTGCGCTTTGTGAAAGTTGATTATTTTCCTTTATTCTTTATCTAATTCATTGTAAGTCTGTGTTATATGTTTTGAATATATGTATAATTAAAGTTTTTTGTTTTTTTTCAGGAACCATATAAAACTCTTAACCTCATACAAAGATAAGAGATATACATTAAAAACCAAATGCAATCACACATACAAACATACAAATTTAAATGATTGCAGCCAATCCTGTAGAATATAAATTAGAATATATCCCCAATCAAATGTTATATTCTGGCTACTTGCCTCTCCCTCCTAAGGGCAAAATATAACAGCATGGGTTACAATTTCTTCACATGGTTAACTGATCAATAAAATTACAAAAAGATGAGACTTACATTTGGAGACTCTGGAGACTTTCCTTTTTACCTCGCCACCACCTGAACCACCACAGCCGTCTTCATCATCACAGTCACCGCTGTAACGTCCCTCCGTGTCTCCACTTCCTGTTTCAATCTGGTCCAGTGACCCTAGTTTAGGAATGGACTTCCCTTGCAACAGCTAGTTGTGAAAAAAAGAAAGACACATTTTTAGTTAATAACATATTCATATTTTTCAACAAAAGTAAACTAGTTTAAAGCAGTAACCTTATATATTATATGAATATTACATTCAATATTCACAAAGGGAACAAGGTCCTCTCATGGCAAGGATAGTGCAGAATATGCATTCAGAAAATGAAGAGAAAAAAGGGGAGAAAATGCAAAAGAACTGGTGATTATGCTGCTAATGAGCCACAGTCCTCTAAGTAATTAAAAAACTATGAATCTACTGAATAACTGCACCGCAAAGGGCATATTTTAATACACACTTTTGTCTAGATATTTTTCTGCATCCTATGCTTTCAATATTAAAACTAAATCTACAGTTAAATTCCCTTATTTATATAAAAAAAAATAACAATAGTAATAAGCCAACACTTCTGCTGAGTGCCACCACCTACACTTCAATGGATGTATAGTATGTGTTGAATGACACTCACCCTTCTCCGCCACAGTGGCCTCTGCAGGGCAGCTAAACTTTCTGCTGTGTTGCTGTGCCGCAGAATCTCAATCAAAGACTTTGCGAACTCGATACCAGGGGAAATGCATACGCTAATTGGCTCATTTGAATTCATGGTGCGTTATTGGAAACAAGAGGGAATGCTTTGTGTTGATCAGAAAGGTATTGTCTATGCTAATTAATTACTGTTGTGGTTCAGTGCAGCGGAGCAGAAGTGGAGCTCGGACACATCGGTGCTGGTAATTAGCCTGTCTGAGTCTCAGCTCCTCAATGGTGACAGATTAGAAGATGGAGAATATTGAGAGTTTGGGCAATCTAAGCGCTCCTTCCATGTGTGTAATTGGCATGATTTTCTTTCCATTTATGTCTGACCACAATTATAATACATTACATAGAATAATGAGTTTCTGTGGTGCCTGAGATTTATCCTGGTTTGACTGAATTTGAACTTTGCGCCTCACAGTCCAGAAGGTAGAGCACTGCTTGAGGGGCTCAGTGGGGTTCAAAGGCTGTCAACTCTGAGCACAAAAAAAACTGCATCTTGCAATGGTTGCAGTAGACTGCACATGTGCAACAATATGCTACCTGAGATCCACTTATTTGTAGTTTGCGGCGAGGTGAAAGGTTATTATGTTTGTGTGTAGATGTATGAATGTGTGGGAGGGAAAAGGGATGTTTTCTTTTACACATAATTCGATTCTCATTCACTCACATGACCTTCAAGTCTCAAGTTACAACTTTATTTAGTTCATAACTAGTACATTATATTTATGAGGGGAATAACAAGAGAGTTAATAAATCTGAAATCTAAAAAAAGATCGACTTTACCAGAAGAATATTTTCTGTTCTGTATAAATTGGTTTGTCTCACACACACACACACACACACACACACACACACACACACACACACAC